ACATAAAGCCTCAGAGAGTTTCTTTGCACTCCAAGTTTTAAAATACTGGGTTTTCCAAGGCAAAGAGATATGCTAACAGTCCTGAGAACTTCCTTCCTGAGGCAAGTTGTCCAGGAATGGGCACCTGCTGAGTGAGGTAATGCCCACCTTACATGGCATACCTCACCTGAGACACCTACCATATCTGTCTGGTAGCCCACACCTTCCCTGCCCCCTCTTCAGACCCCTTCTGGTTCCTTCACAGGACCCCCTACATGGCTTCCTCCTTTTTTCACAAGTTGTGCAAAGAGTCCTGCACCTGATTCAATATTGGGATTTCCTGTAGGTCTGTCAACATGCATGAGCCCTCCTCCCATTACCCTCTCCTTGTGCCCTGGCTTGCCTGACCCAGCCTCCCCAGCCTCTGGATTCAGAACCTTAACCTAACTAGGCATGACTGGGTAAGAATGGGCATTGGGGCCATGTCCATCTTGGTGCTGTGTTCCCTAAGCCCTAATGTATCTCCTTTCTTATTTTTCTCCCTGAGCCCATGTCCCTTTTCCTTAGGGCCAGCCAGGACTATGCCGTATTCCACCAAGTCTGTGATCAGTCCCTCAGAATCCAGCACCCCACCCCCTACTTCTGCTCTGTCCTGCTCCTCCCATTCTGGGAAGGCCATACTCTTCTCGACAAAGGTCAGTGCCTGTAGGTTCCAGTTTGCCTGCCCCTCCCCCAGCTGAGAGCCCAATTCCTCTTTCTGTCCTTCCTACCCTCAGTTAACTCCAAACCCTGCTTACCACTCACCGGGTGTAGAAGGGCTCCAGGACCCAGAATGAAGAGCAAGCAGCGCTCTGGGGAGCAGATGGGTAGAAAGGCATGTGGCGTTGGGGCATAGCCCCTTCACGGCAGTGGGGTCACACGCCTGCCCTGGCCACTTCTGCCCAATCAGAGAGCAGGGAGCCACCAGACACTGGCGAGGGCCCCCGGAAGTGACGCCTTCTCCTCCCAGCCTTGCTGGACCTGGAGCCCCTGCCTAGACCATGGTCCACTAGCGGAGCCTAGCTCCTCCACCCACACACACCACAGGGATGATTCGAATAGGGGGATCTGTCTTTTCCTAGGAGATGGGAAACCTGGACCTGGCCGGAGAGGAGATGGGAGAGGAACAGGTTTTTTAGAAGAAAACTAGCAGGACATTTTTGTTTTCAGCTCCTGTGGCCAAATTTCTTTTCCCTGGATACCACAACTGTTGCTGAAGTCCAGTAGCGCTCTTGCCTTCTTGCTTTTCTCTCCTATAACCCCTAGGAGGTCATGTCTTATACCCCTTTTCTGAGTGGGAATGTGGGTATTGCCTGTATTGGAGAATGACCGTGTGAGGGGTCAGTGTTATAGGGAAAGGGTTTGGACAGTTTGAGAGGACTGCAAGGTGAGTGGTATGTGTGCTGGGCTCAGGTGCTCCTCTGCTGGGGCCCATTGGCTCAGACAGCTAAGCTCACTTATCTCTGTTTGTGCCCTCCTTTGCTTGCCCCTTCTTTCTCCCACTTTCATCTCCTACCATTCTATATGTGACAAGAGGAATAACCAGGCCCATGTGTCCCTGTCTTAGGAAAGACAGGGAACCTTTATCCCCAGAATGCAGTTTTCAAAAGGGGGTGGTAGTTTTTGGTTTTAGAGTTTTCATTACCTTCCCTAACTCTGCCTCTTCTCACTGACACGGTGATCAGTCCCCGCTTCTATGAGGCCATGGCTAAACTCCTTGGCCCCCCCCCCCCCCCCCCCCCCAGTTCTTCCCCCAGCTCTCTCCTGTTCCTTCTCCCCAGGATGGGGCTGTCTGCTAAGGAGTATGGCCTAGATCCCGGAATTCTCCAGTTCAGCCAGATGAGATGCCTCCCAAGATTAGGAAGGAGGGTGCTGGGATGGTTGGGAGGATGGTGGGTGTGTGTGGATGGGAAGGGACAAAGAGGCAGTTATGACCAGGAAACCAAGACAGAGGAAGTTGGGATGGGTAGAGAGACTGAGGGTCCCCTAGGTGAAGGAAGTGGGAGAGAAAGCGTTTCAGGTTGGGGATCATGATGGCTGGATGGGCCTGAGGACAGGTTACAGCAGGGAGGGAGACACTGTTTATAGCTAAGTTTCTGTCCTGAGAACAGTAGAATGAGGAGAAATCTCAGAGAAGAGGTAGGGACACTGGCTAGGCAGCGAGAGTGAGGGGTGTGAGAGGTCCGGGCGGGGGTGGGGGGGGGCCGGCCCAGAGTCAGGGGGAGATCAGTTGGTGGGCCTTTCTTGTATGTTGTCATCCTTAAAGACAAGTCTTCATCCTTCGGCAGGAACCGAATCTTAGCCGGGTGGTTGGCCCAGGCCTCTGGCCCAGCCTTTGCCCCTCCCTAGCCTGGGGCTCTCATCCTGGGCCAGACCCGTACCTCCTGCTCAAGTTGCCCTGTGGCCGCCGGCAGCGGGGGGGGGTGGGGGGGGCTCCAGACCCTGCCTCTCCTCCTCTCTTCTGTGCCCCCAGTTCCCTCCCCTCCCCCTACTCCCTCCGCT